GCCTTTATGGTAAACGTCCCATAATGCAACGCGCGGGTCTCACTCGAAAACCGCGCGGTGCATTATGGGACGTTTCCGATAATGACGTCACACGCGACGTCGCGAGGGTCCCCCGCGTTGCATATAGAAAACGTCTGATAATGTTATGCGCGGTTCTCACTCGTGACCCGCGTGGTGCATTATGGGACGTTTCCGATAATGAAATTCGAAGCGACGTCACGTTTGACGTCACGAGGGTTCCGCGCGTTACATCGTGGGATGTCACTTTGAGAGTAACAAATGACGTCACGATCGACGGTCACGAAAATTACGAATGACGTCACGTGTGACGTCACCAAAGATACTCGTGAAGGTCACGACCTTCTCGTTACCTTCCCTCGTGACGTCACGAGGATATCTCGAGGGTCACAAGCGACGTCACGAGGGGGGAGAGAGGGAGAGAGAGGAGTATGGAAGGAGATCGAAAGGAGGTGGAGGGAGGTGGAGGATCGAGGGGGGGAGGAGAGGGTACGGAGGAGGAAGGGCCATACCCTCCTCTCCGTACCCTCCCCTCTTCCGCCTCAAGAGCTGCGCTCTAATTCAGCATTACAGGAAGTAGTAAACGTCTTTCATCTTTTTAGGCTTTCGCCTGCGTTTGCTACGAAGAAGACGGTCTGGTCCCGGATTCAGCGGCGATATTAAGAATCTAGCTGCTGATGACAAGCGTCGCATCGCTTCCCGGCCATCGAAGGGAGACTGTGCGAACCTGATCGGACCCTGCACGTCGGGGGCATTGTCACCGGAATCTTTGGGCTACTTAACCAGCAGTCGCGGAACGACTCGTCGCGGACCAGCGGAATGCATGTCCACGGATTCTCCGTTCCCTTACATTTTGGGTCAGCTTTGTTTTTTACTCATAGCTTACACGCGATTTTGTGGTTTGCATTTCGCGGGTCTGGCTTCGTTTTAGTGTTTTCTTAAGAGAGACGAAAGAGGTGACTCTCTCATGTCTGATAGCGCCAGATGCTATATCTTGAAGTGCTCAGCTTGTGTAAACTACTATCATCTGGAGAATTTTTCCGGTGTTACAAAAATGACGTCGATGACGTGTGAAGCCATTCTGCACGACAATGTGACACTGGCAAGATACATTCGCAACGACAGTCTGTCTCAAAAGATGCTTGAGGCGTCACCACTGATCATCCAGTGGGACAGTCTAGACAAGTTGATGGAGCAAAATGAATCTATCAGTAAAACCCTGACCGCAGTCTTTACCGGGATGGCATGTATAAAAAAAGTAATTGGAGGCGCACACTCAAAGGGGAGGTGCAGTGATGCTAAAACTAGAAAATTACGGTAAAACAATAGAAGGTATGAAGGCACCCCTGAATTAATGGTGATGAACTGATTGCTCAATTGGATAACCAAGACAATATAGTAAATGAGTTAAACCAAAAATTCAACCAAATCGAGGGACTAAGTATTTGAAAGAGATACAAAACCTGGGAACCAAGAAAGGCAGCTGACGACGCAGAGCTTTACTCTACGCGTCAGAACATTGAAATCCACTGTATTAATCAACAATCAAAGGAAAACATATTGGAAGGTATTAACAAAGTGGCTACAAAACGTGGTCTGTCACAACCGACTGAGACGGATTTTGAAGCTGATCATAGGCTTCAAACTAAATATACAAGAGCAGCACGTATCTTAGTAAGGCTCACCGAGAGGCGCGCAAGGGCATATGGGAAAGGAAAAGAATTATACCCTTAAAAACCGAGAACATTTGCATGAAGTAAAATTCGACTAAGGCACGAAAATATTTGCTGTGGTCAACCAAGACTTGTGCGAAAGAGAAGGTATACAAGTTTACTGTGGATAAAAAGGTGAATATATTCGCCCGTCAAAAAGATGGAGCGGTAGAAATTCAAATCAGGAGTGAACGAGACCTAATTCAAAAAAGGTGAACATGGACTCGTCCTCTGATTCTTTCTGTAAGTCGGACACATACATCGGGGGTTCGAATGTAGAAGGTCACCTTAACACTAAGTTAAATTTAATTCACATAAATTTTAGAAGTATTCATAAGAATCGGGATCAGTTACTGGTATTATTAGGCGACCCACTCCTATTTTCATATGTGCTTATTTTGAGGCATGCGAATGTTGACGAGGTAGCTTGTGCTATGTTTTCCTTACGAAGCTTTCGTTTTTATAGCGTATGTCTAAATTGCAGAAAAGGGGGCGGTAATATGGTGTATATAAATTACCGTTCCTTGCCTGAAAATATTTGTGTACTTGAAGAAAAAAAAAGAAAAAAGATGTGCATTGCGACTGTTAATAAAATAATGAATGTTTCGTACGTCATTTGCGCGTTTTACGGACCATTTAGTTCGAATATAAATATATTATGTTATAAATGGAGACAATTACTTCCCAATTTCAATAACCACTAATACAGAGATCTTGTTGTAGATTTAATATTGATATTTTAAACGAGACAAAGCAAGGAGTATTGCACATACTTGGCAGCTCCCGTATTTTGTCCTAGCAAATATAATTAATAGCTATACCCAGCAGCAATACTATATTAATAAAATAACGAAGTCACGTGTAGATTAGAAAGTCACGGGAATCAGTAATTTAAAAATATTATCAGGAGTTGTTAATAAATAAATAGCTGAACATTACATTCCTATATTTTTAACACTAGAAGTGGTTGCTGAATATCCGGATACAGAAATGAGATACAAGGTGATCCAGGGCAACAAAGAAATTTATAACTTAAATGAAGCGTATAACTGGAATTCTTCGTTAAAGTACTATCATACTATAGCTTATGATAAACTCGTGGAAATCTTTCAGAACATTTCTTCTATTAGTGCCAGAAAAGTAAAGTTGACGAAACGGAGGCTCTAGAATACCTGGATCAACGAGGGCATGCTTGAATTATGTTAATATAAGGACCAGCGTTGGAATCAAGGAAACCCCAATCTAAAAAATGAATTTCGTGAAATTCCTAACAAAGTGAAAGCAAAATAAGCTTAGCAAAAAGAAAACATATTTTAAATTGGTTCATTCAATCAAGAACACATTCGAAGGCGACCTGGAACTTTTAAACCAGTAATTTGCCAAAAAGCTAGAAATAGCGTGGATGATGCAATTCAGAAACATTTACATGGGTCAAGTTCTTATGCGGCATTATCAGGGTCTTTCAACAAGTGTATTTATTAACTACGTAAAGAAATATAAAAAAGTAAATTCCATAGTTAGTCACATTGCTATCGCTCCACAAGTCAAGTGCTTTAATTCAGAGTATTTGCGTTATACAAGGAAAAATAGGGAATCTTCGTCGATTCCGTCCTCCCAGTAACAGTTTGGGTTCGCGTTTCGTTGCTTTCCCAATTTCGTTGTCTCACAGCTACGCATGCGTCGTCCTTTCCATATGAGAAATACTGGTTATGTTGTCATGGGTCCTTCTGAACCGTACAAAGAAGCACAATCGCTAGATCGGCGTGCACTCTATCGAGCTGCTGCGTCGCAGTACAAACCTTTCAAAACAAAAGTGGAACGGATTTGCTGCCAGGCCGCGCTCTTTTTCGGGCGCTTGTTCAAATCGGGGTGCTGCTTTTATAAAGAAATGGGTATCCTCTAATAGCGCTGATAAAGCCGCCAAACAAACCTCCGTGGCTCCTATCCGCGGCCGCGAACCGAGGTGTGGAACGGACATGTTTGATGCTTCTCCCACAGAAGTTCGGCGCGCGAGATGTAAACAAGCGCGAGGCGCACCTTTCGGTACTTCCGAGGCGCCGCTGATTGGTTCAGCCGCCACGTGACTGGGTGCCCGGTCGGAAAAATCGGCCTGGAAGCGACTGCTTCAAACCTCTCGCTTTCGTGACTTGCAATTATTGCTCTTGCGACAAAAGTTTTCGCGCAACAGCTGCGACTTGCCAATGTGAACGCGCCTTTACAGCCGACGTCCTGCGGCAAAGCCCCTGTAACGACGGCAAGCTAGTAGGGTTGTGCGAATAGGGCTTCGACTCGAATAGCGCTGCGTCATTTATAGCCTTGACAGAGTAAGGGCGAATAGTTAATTCAACAGTGCAGAAGCTAGGCATGACGCTGCGCTATTCGATTCGAACCACTATTCGCACAAGCTTACAAGCCAGCTAAATTTGAGTAAAGGTTTTTCGTCGTTTTTCTCTTCAGGATATCATATGTTACTCGTTTTCTTGCCATCACAAGTTAGTTCAAGTCACTCTGAATGGATAAGCAGAGTTTAAAAAGAATGAAAAGTGGATTTTCTTTTCAGATATTGATGTGCAATTGTGCAACATTTAGAAAAATGTGCATTGTTTCTGCATTACTAACATAACTACAATAATGGCTAAGCATAATCTTTTATATATTCGTAATACGCATTTAAAGGTGATCAATTCTGATATATTTTGCCTTATTTTATACTGAATAATTCGATGGTGAATAATTTGTTAATGTCTTTAAAACGTGGTTATTTGACGGGTTCTGAATATATTTTTGCATAGAAATCTTTTATTGTTATTTTTAGTATTCCGCGTACATGTTACATACCTTTCATAAAATAAAAAGAAAAAAAAACATTATTATGTGCATGATTCGGTGTAAAAATGACGGCGATGCAAATTACCATAGCGAAACCTTGGCATTCACCACTCCTGGAGCTTCGAAATTTTGTATCTCCGGAATAAAATTAGTTACGGCGTTCGCATATAGCTGAATGCTCCTTCCAGGAATATGGCTTTAACACATAGTTTTACATAACTATAAAAATATGACCTGGACTATCATTTTACGATCTGACCTGGAAACACCCTGAAGTCAAGTACAGGTTGCTTTGCGATATGAATATTCAGACCAATGATTGAATTGTACGAGTACTATATAATTTCCTATGACTAGGAGCATTGCAGTGTACTTCAATATTATAGTAATTGAGATCGTTTTAGCTAAAACAAAGGTTGTTAAAGTTCGCTCTCCGCTTACCTTGGGATACTTTTCAGACAAGGTGGAGATATTCATTTCGTTGTACATTGAGGAGAAGTTACGCCTGTCTTCTTCAGCCTTAGAGTGCTTAGAAAAAGAAAAAGAAAACAACCGAATAATGGTCGTAATATTTATATTCTCAAAACCTTCCCGATATTTTTTTTTGTGAGTTATGGTTTATTGCGAGTCCTTTTTCTTTTTGGGATTCCATGCAAAAGGCACTAGTACCGTGTTTGTCAAGGGTGCCCAGACGTTTTAGTCTAGCTAAATTAATAGGCCCGCCCGAACGCTTTGATAATAAATTGAAATTGCTGTGCGCAGGAATAATTTCCCAGACCACTCACACAGACGGGGATGGTTTTAGTAAATGCAAAATTTTGTTAAGATATCCTGCATAAGCCGCACTAATATATCTATATATATATATATATATATATAAATATATATATATATATATTAGTAATTTTAAAAATAATTTTTGTAATTTTTAGAAAGAATTTGAGCGCGTGAGAAGCGCAGGAGTGCGCTGAAGTTACCACTCGCGGAGCAGGTACAAGGCTGGGGATAGATAAGAAACGAAAAAATTGCGCGGGCGCCTTAACGAAACCGCTAGCCTTGTACAGTGCTAATCACACTTGTCTATAACGCGCGAGCGTGCGACTTTCTCCGGGGAGCGCTGGACTGGTGGCGCTCTCGGAAACTAAGCTAGTCACGTGGCGCATCATGGAACGGCCCGCTCGAGGGGTGTCCTGCCCATTCTATCAGCTGGGACAACCCCGCTTCACTAATTCCGACTATCCTTGTTCGGACGTTTTTCGGCACTCGTGGTGTCGTTGCCGGCGATCGGTGCTTTTGTCCTGTAGGATTCTCTCGATACTATGCGCAGTCGCGTTGAATCCAGTCAATTGATATACTTTTGTTTTTTTGCATAGTAGCAAGCCTTATACCATCTTGATAAGCAATAAAATTAAGTGCTTTATCTTTTTTCTTTTTGATGACGACATTGTTGATACGTTTTCATGCTTCATTTTGTTTATTGTTCGAGCAATGATGTTTGCAAAAAGCGTGCGAGCAGCCTTCTGCGTTCGCCGCCAGCCGATAGAGTGGGCAGGACACCCCTCGAGCGGGCAGTTCCATGTTGCGCCACGTGACTAGCTTAGTTTCCGCGAATGGCACCAGTCTAGCGCTCCCCGGAGAAAGCCGCACGCTCGCGCGTTAGAGACCAGTGTGATTAGCACTGTACCTGCTCCACGAGTGGTAACTTTAGAGCACTACTACGCCTCTCACGCGCTGAAAGGTTTTCTGAAAATGACTGATTTAGGCGTTTTGAATGACGCTCAGCAAGTTTCTTAGGGGTATATAAACATTCGCGGGCTGTATACTCGCTACCTGATGAAGAGCGGTCCCCGCTCGAAACGTCGTAATAAACTTCGAATTAGTAACTCCGGCAGTACGCATCTTTGACTTATTAACTTTTCCCGGTCCATTGTTTTTATATTTAGCTCACTTCACACACATATATATATATATATATATGTATATATCAGTGTGTCGAACCGAAAAAAAAGGGTTCAGTTACGGTTCAGGTTCAGGTAAATTTATTTTGTTCCGGTTCAGTTCCGGTTCGATTAATTCAATCCGCGAACCGGTTCGCGAACCGGTTGAGAAATTATAAGTGACAAATTGCAACATCAAAATAAATTACAAATAAAACATCTGAAATCAGCAGATACGAAACGGGATACATCGAAGTGTAAGGCTCAGGGATTTCTACCAGGAATGGTTTCTTTATGTGCACTCAAAAGTTACCTCGCCGACGTTTACGCATTCGGGCTTCATCTAATTAGGTCCGACGCAGTAGCTGTAAAATCCGCGACCTCCGTACAAACCCACTTACAAGTAGAACTCGCTAACTATCCCGCCACCTCGGCGTGTAAGCAATTGAAGGAACAGTGGGGAGAAAATACAGCTTTCTTTATTTGAACTAGCCTTCGGTAACTCAAATTAGACCCTTAAAGAAGTTTTCATTAAACGAGATACGGAATATGAAAATCACTTCACCGAACGCGACGCCAGAAGGACGTAATAGGATAAATATTAAAATAGAAGAGTTCGCTGTCTCACAAATATGTTAGCTTCTAAGTGCCTATAGGGAACCGGATGCATTATTATCAAACTCCACAGCCTTTTCTTTTCTCATTCCGATGGAAGCAAGCTTCAAGAACTCGCGCGTTCTAGAAACGTGTTATGAAATGAGCACACAGCAGCATTTAGGATTTACGAGATTGTAGGAAAATGAAATCCCGTGACGCGATTTTTGTGTTTTGCACAGCCTTCCAATTCTCTTTCTTCCGTGCAAGCCGCGACCAGCGCAATACTGGTTCCTATGTCAAGATTCATGGATGCAGCGTTTATATTCCTAAGACTGAGTGGAGAAGAAAAATATGTAAGCGAGGTGTGTGTCAGTTGACGGCACTTAAAAAACAAATGGCATTGATAGCACATCGTCACCAGCGCGTGGCCGAACCGTTTTGACATGAGCCGGTAACCGTTATTTTTTTTCCGGTTCAGTTTCGGTTCGGGTTCATCGCGATAACGATATAACGGCTCGGGTTCAGGTTCAGTTCCGGAAAAAATACCGGTTCGGTTCCGGTTTTCGGTTCGGTTCGGTTCCGGTTCGACACCCTGGTATATATATATATATATACGTATATATTTTTTTTCCGCCACCCTTTTGGTTATTGGGACGAGTTGTCGGCAATATCCATTTGAATAGTAAAGCGAATGGAAGACTGATTTTCCTGAGAATTTTACTCTCTGTCCTCCTGTGGTCCAGGGCTTTAAAAGGATCCTAACCTTTCTGTGGTCACCGTACTTAGCCGGTGTTTTTTTACCTGATGAACGCTCCCTTTTACTTGTCAATATAATGACCTTAAGGATAGTGGGAAATCTCGAAAATGATAAAAGTTTGACGAAGCAGTGTTAATATATTGCATGTGAAAATAAGCGAAAAATATTTTAGATTCTCAGAGAAGTGATTTATAAATTTCCCTTCGCAGAAGAGCTTCACGATTAAGACATGAATATATAATTTACTTTACATAAAAAAATTTTGTAAATTATATTGACAGCTCTATAAACATGTTCAGTGGGAGTGGCGAGGAATTTCATACTTCAGGACTAGTTCTTTTTGACACTGCGCGACACTGTTTACACCAACACAACAACGACAAGGCGCAGCGTAAGAAGTAGAATGCGTCCCTAACTTAAAGCTATTTGTCTTAAAATTGAAAATTAAATTTGAACAATTGAAAATTAAATTTGAAAAGAAATACAGTAAAATTGCGAATAGCTTGTTACCGCTAAAATGCATCGCGTTGGGTACTTGGTACTAAAACTTCAGCCATTGCACAAAGGTGAGCATATCGTGAAATATCTCGAACACAGTAACAAATTTTAAGAGCATAAAATCCACCTAAAGTTTATGAAAGCTGTAAGCATTTTTTTAGGAAATGCATAAAATCACGAGGCCCGATTACGAAATTTCAAATTGAACAAATTAATTCGCTTTAGCGGGAGATAAAATACGTACGGGTGTTCGAAATAACCACGTTCGATCTAAAATAGGTCGTAAATATCGCCGCCTGCACGAAGCAACCTAAACGCTTCGTGAAGGGTGTATTTAAATAGGTCGGTCTTATGTTCTATGAATGGAAAGCGTACCTCCCATTCTGTAAGAAATAAGGCTAAAAAGCTTGCCAGGCTCAACGGCGGACGGCGACGCAGGCAACCGAGTAGAGTGGCGGGGCGCGTTTGACACGTGTATTGACAGATGGCGTCGAGAACAGCGTCGGAAGGTGTAGCCGACGAGCGAAAGAAAGCAGACGACACGCACGAAGAGATTTTACTAAATGCCGGGTAACTTCGTTACACGGTGGTTCGGAATCAGCCAGCCGCTGTTCCAGAGAGACAGACACGAAGCGAACCTTTTCAACTCTCAAAAAGAACTGTTTACTTCAAAACAACGTTACGGGAAGAAAGACGCGCCAGAAGGGGAAAGAGGGTACACGGTGTCGAGTGGCCAGAAGCTACCTCTACGAGGCGCAGCTGGCGCTGTTTACACAGGGGTCCGTGGTCGCCTGCCCGTTCGCGTTGGCGGGTGGCTCGGCGGAATGTTCCCTCTGGGTCGTAAATTTCCAAAGCACTCGAGGGGAGACCGTTGGATCCGAGAAACACAAGCACAAGACGGAACGAATGCGCATGCAGACTCTAAACGCAACACACACTCACAAAATACAACAAAGCAGACGAAAGCCGTTGGCAGCGAGAACGCCGTCGTTATGCAACCACGTTTTTTCTTAAATTTTGGTTTTACTTTGTTTTGCTTTTATTGTCCGCATCTATTTTTAAACCAAAGCCGCATTATGAAAATATTGTGTTAATTTTAATAGACCACAGTCCTTGCGAGCAGTCTCGAAAAAAGTCCTTCGTCTCGATAAGGAGGTAGAGCCAGGTATCAATACGTGCGCCAAACAGGCCCCACGCCACTCGGCTGGTCGTCTGCGTCTCTGTCCGCCGTTGACCATGGCAAGTATTTTGGCTCTGTTTTTTACAGAAAAGAAGCTACGCTTTGAAATTTTACAAGATAGAGCCGACTTCTGAAATACACTTTTGACAAATAGTTTTGTTTGCTGCGTGCAGGCGCCGGTTTTTACGGCCGATTATAGATAGAGCCTGGTCATTTCAGACGCCCAACACTTCAGATTTACTATTGGAAGGCATTATATGTTACCTTTGCCAGTTTGGCCTCAAACTGTAATATATCCTCAGAAAGTCGCTGTGCCTCGTCCTCAGTTAAGTTGGGCATGAAGACCTTCGCAGTTGACGCAATGAGGTTCTTGTAGGCAGCTACTATTTTTTTATTATCTTCTGTCGTCTGGTTAATCAGTTGGTTTCGACCAGCCCAGTTAAAGGTGATTTGGTCGAGCTTGAAAAATAATGCATGTTGAAATGAACATGTTAATATCTAGTATATCGCAAATATACACTTTTAAACAGCATATTTCATATCTAGTGAAACACTCGACTTAAGGAATTAGTAGGCATGCAGCTCAGAGAATATCAGTAATTATTAGGCGATCTATGTAACTCTTCTTTTTTCCACCCGAAACATAATATCTACATCTATATTTCGAAAGTAAAACTAATCGAGCCATATTTTATACAAATTAGTAATGTTTTCATACTATGTTCTCTTTTGCGGTTGTGGGCTAAATTCAATAACCACACTGAATACGATAGAACCATGTTAACCAAATTAATAACCGTCCTTGTTTAGAATAAAGATATGTAGTGGCTGGAACATTCAAAAGTACATTCAGATGTCAACTCGAATTAATCTCACGTCTTTAATTCAAAACCCGCTCTCAGCGGCAGAGAATTGCGGCAATTTTCACTGAGTAACAGTGAGTGTGCAGACGAGCTGGCGATAATAAAGCATAATGTAACACCTAAGAATGTGGGGTAGATTTATTAAGAAACTTTCAAGTAAAAAAAAAAAAATTACACTTGGAGAAAGTTCTGCACTATATGTTTTTTTTATTTGAAAGTTTTTTTCTCACTTTACGGTAAGGTATTGCGTTATGATTAATTTTAAATCCCCAAAACCGGTTCCTGTGACCTAAGTTGTTGACTCCCACGTCCCGATGTAGTGGTCGCTTGACTGCCAGCACAAAGACATGATTTTGTATTACAGCTCATGCAAGAAGCCTATGCCGTCTCGCTGGTTTCATCAATAATAATAAGGAAAAGTATCGGTTGCTCCAAGGTAAAAGCTCCGGCCTACGGATCTGCAGGTGGCGGGTTCGAACCCCGTCCGATGTGCCCACATGTGGCCAAAGTGCCCGCAGTTGGCCGAGGTGTCCGCAGTCAACTGGGGTATGCGGTTGAAAATGAATCAGATTTAATGAATTGCGGATCGGGTGCGGGTGCTAAGGGCTGCGGATGCGGATCGGATGCCGAAATCCGGTGGTTAGTCGCGCCGGCCGAAAAACGTGTGCGACAGCAGAGGCTAGAGTTATTAAGTAAAGTTATTGACTTTTGTCTGAAGTTCGGACGTCTTACGACCACTGCACTATCCTTAATGCGTTATGATTCACCGGTATCACGGTGAACACCAGTGCCCAGGTACTTTCACCGTGATACGGTGAATGTATCTGGGGACCTACGTTTTGTCTGGAACTAAATGTGCGCACCGACGGCATCTTGCTGACTTAGCATGCTAGACAAGGTATCAATCTCTGCTAAAAGTCGCTTGCGGACTATACTACAGCGTAGGTGAAATGTATTGAGCGCACTTTGAACTGACCGCATATATCGTTTTTTTTAACTTATCGCGCTGAGATTTACTACAGAAATGCGTGAAGTTGGTGAAAGCCTTCGCTAAAAATGTGTAAAGATCGGCTCACCTGTGTAAATCAATAAAAATCTAAAACTATATTTTTTTATACTTTGTATTGAAAGCACAAGACCATAATCAATCTGGGACCAGTTTTTTGTGACAACTGCAGTTCAGCTGCTAACATGAATTACCAAACACGCCCCCCCGTTGGGTTTGGCCTTTATATAAAATATTCACATAGCTGTCGTTCCACATCCGGCCAGCTGTAGCCGCAGGAATGCTCATCTATCTCGAGTTGCAAGTACGCTTTTGACAATTCAAGCACTGTGAACATCTTGCCCCCTGCTAATGACGCGAACACATCTTCAGGCAAAGGCAATGGTGAGTGCGCAACTGTAACGCAGTGATTAAGGGCTACATGATAATCCCCACATAGTCTAACTGTAGTACCGTCCTTCTTTGGCACTACTACAAGAGGCAACCCCATTCGCTGTCTTGCACGGGGCAAATTATCCTTTTGACTTCGAGATCACGTAACTCCTCTTCTACCTTGTCTTTGAGTGCGTACGGCACCACTCTAGCTTTACAGAAGACTGGTCGCGCGTCTGTTTTCAGCGGAATGAACCCACGGAAGCCCTTAATCTTGTCAAGTGGCCCTTTGAAACACCTCAAACTCGTCCAACAGTGACTCTTGCCCCGACGCAATGGAACCTAGACTCAACACTTGCGCCCAGTTTAGGAGAATGTGTTCGAGCCAGCTCCGCCCGAGAGAAGTTGGCACCGTGCGCTGCTCATCCGCTTCAGCCACCACTAAAGGCAACATAAAACAAACGCCTTCATGTTCCACTTTTACCATGACACGGCCCTTTACTGGGACGTTGGTACAATTGTACGTTCGCAACCGGAATTGCGCCGGTTCATACTTGATTTTCGTGAATTGACCTAACAGAACGTTTTCCGGGATAATAGACACGGCCGAACCCATATCTTTTTCTATCGGAATCAAGCTCTGTGCCTAACTATCTAGAAAATAAACCCAGACCGGAAGTGTGCTAGGGCAATCGAGTAAATGGCGGCACTGAGTTTTTTGTAAAAAAAAAAAGGCGAATATATAGCTACTGGTGCTGGCGTGAGCACGTCACTGTGACGTAAACGCCTCTCGGAGCAGCGCCGTTCGGATCTGGTAGCTCGAGATTGATTTAGATCTTTACGCGCGGTGTGCCTAGCGCCGAGCTGCGCAAAAGCAAATATTGCAAGCGTTCCTTTGGTTTGTTTGGTTTGGGTTCGATTCTGTGTTTTGCTTTGTGCGGCTCGAACGCTCTCGTGAGATTGTTCTAGCCATCTGCGAAGCTATTCAAAATCTCATGCGTGACACGGAAGGTATTGTGAAATCACCATCTCAAGTAGCAACAGGTGGGTCTTCACCAACAACAACGACGGTGCCGAGAAGCGGCAGTATGACGCCGAGCGAGATCGGTTTTGTGGTTTGAGTTCAAGGTGCGAAATTTGTTTGCGAAAATGTTACTGCCGCAGTCAATGAAGAAGTTAACACGACGGCTGAAGAAAGAATGCCGAGACGGTGCATTCTGCACCGGAGAGACCTTTGGCGTCGTCGTGTTTGTGCAGCCAACCATTCGATGCCTTTGGGGGACGAAGAAGCGTGTTATGTGTTTAGGAATTTCGCTGCTGGGTTAGTATTTTGGACTGCGTTGGTAGGTATTTACTTTCTTTCATATTGTATATGATGCTCGAGGATAACGCTTTGTCTCTGCTCATTACAATGTTGCGTCATAACACCTGATAATTATTTCATTCGGTGCGACTGCATTGGCGTAAGGTCAATAAAACATATCCGTGCACTTTCGAACGAAAACTCCAAGTGTTTCGTGAAAACTGGACGTGTCTCACACAAGAAATTTAGGTTAGCCTTCTCTCGTCAGTCTGAGCCAGGAAGTTATAATGGGCAAGAGGTGGCGTCCGTATTCTCCATACATAGAGCGAAGTGTAACGGAAGTAGGCGTGGCCCCGAAATGTCTTCTTATTATCTCGGCTATTGAGACAATCCATTTCCTGTGTCTTTTTTGTTTTATGAAATCGCCGATATTTTACCAGTCTCAATCATTTTCATCATGATCAGGAAAATCAGTTAACTGACGTCCTCATAAAAATATGGGGCAAACATCCGTATTGCCATGGCATTGCTGTGGCAACGCGGCTGTTTGTCCCACGATGTCATGGTGGCGTCCACTGAATCGGTGTCGAATAGGAAAGATTTGGAGTTCAACCCACCCTTGCCTGACCGGTACAAAGTCGGCATACAGCAGACGCTGTCGACACCGCGCCCGGAACGTCGTCTAGAGTGAGTCTTCATAGGACGGCTTTAGAAAGCGAGCATGTCAGTCGTCGTACGCACGAACGCTGAAAATGGCACTGCTGGTTGAGAATGCCGTACAAGCGTTGTTTCCAGAAGGTGCTGGTTTCCCTTCACCATGAAGAGATTGCGGGTTCGCATCAAAACTTATTTTAATGCGCCGACCGTATCGCATGCCAGCCGTGACAGCGAGCAGACGAAGCAGACCGCAGGCTTGGAGCAGACGTAGCCTAAAGCAGTCGACCGAGCAGCGAGCAGACGATTAGAGCTCGGTTGGATTTAGGTTGGATAAAAGCGCTTCGGTGCGCAAGGAAGTCTAGGATTGGGTTCTTTTTCCGGCGTCGGTGAGCATGACGTCATGCCGAGTCCTGAACTATTTAAGGGTCCCTGATTCTGCCCATCTATGTCAACGAGGTAGTTTTGCTTAGAGCGATAAACTGGTACCCCCGTTCACCAGGCAAAAGTGATCACCACTTGGCTGCAGCCATGTTGTACAATTTGATCACTTGACACGTGACCGTACCAAATCCTGAGGCGTTTATGCAAAAGTGAGCCGAGATGTGTATTCGATCGCTGTAAAAACATTATGAGCTATTTTTTTCAATACTGTTAGCACCGGAGATAAGTGTCTCGCTCCGATAAAAACCTAAAATGCAGCACCCCGGCTGACGGCATCTAGCAGACGCAACTTGAAGCTGCCCGGGTGTTTGTCGTAAAAGCATATTTTAGAATTTAAACAAACGAAAAATAACTTATCCCGTGGATACTGTTATTAAAGGTCAATGTCAAGAATGTGCAACATGGCGGCGGCCAATGGGAAATCATTTTCAGCTGCCAGTTTATCGCTCTAGGGCCCTCTACCTCGTTGCTCTATGTCAAGAACTTTGTAGCGGCGTTCAAGGGTCCATATACATTCTGAGGTAAGTTTTCTTCCGAACTGACACGCCGTCCGCTTCCATTTGTCGCAGCGAAGTTGGCCATGTTGCATTTGCATTTTTAAATGAATTCTTTTAATAAAGTCTATATAATTAATAATTAAAGCAACTTCGATGCTTTTTTTTTTTTAATTTCCGCTTGTTTGGATCGAAAAAAAAAAGTAAACACTGCGTTGCTAGTTTGTGAACATACGTTTTGCGGTAATGTTTTCTTCGACATTAATACTCTAATAGTAGTATGATGGTAACACAAGAACATATCCGCCGGTTTTACTTGTTTTAGTTTTATTGTGGATACTAGTTTATATTTTGGGCATAAATAGTGCGTTTTAAAGCGAAGTACTGGGAGTCGCTCTACGTTCGGTGCCAAGGGTGGCCCAGCTACTATCTGCATTTCGCGACCATTGATATCTATAACAGTCGCTGGATCGCGCTTCCCCCCTCCGCGAGTGCGGCCACGGGACGACCATCTTGCATGCAGCAAAATCGCAGTTTTGGAGAATTCCAGAGGCTAGCCGGCAGCGAGCTGAAGAAACGGTTTCTGCTCGTTTTCCGCCATTCGCCTAAGAAGTTTTTAAACTTTGTGTAAAGGGTGAAAACGGCCTTTGAGTACACGTAAAACATTTTACGGAAGCACTTCGCCGTAAGAAAAAGGCACAAATCGGCGAAAGCAAGATTCGCCGGTCTCGCGGCGTGATCGAAACTTCCTTGGCACGCCGAAGTGCTGCGTCTCCGTTCCTTCGCACGCTTGGATACCGATCAAGAATCGACGCCGCAGCAAAGTTTGAAGGTATGTCTGATTAGATGTTTTTGCAGCATATATCGGCTACGGAGTTCTGGACCGTCCAGCTGTTCCTGCGAGAATTCCTATCAATAAATGAAAACAATATGCGTGGTTGATATTATGAACTATTAACCATGACAATGTTCCAAATATACTCGAATGGATCACATGAAGGCACAAATAGAGCAACGCTGTGGAGCAAGGTACACCCGTGAGCGATATGAAGGTGAACAACCCTCTTCTTGTTTTTGACGCTCCTGCAAGCTTTGGAACAAGCTCTGTTCCAGAAGAGGGCTAGAACGCAAAGTTTAGACCCTTGGCCACGTACCAATTGAGACGTTGAGAGTTAATATAAGTTTAGGAAGCCGTAAAATACGCAAGAAACCAGGTAAAGTGTTCACCTTCATATTGCCGGCGGGTGTATGTGTTCGAACACAAAAGTATGAAATGGCGAGATCGAAAATTTCTTGAAACGCGGTCCATATGCGCGTGTGAATTTTGTCGCTGTCGCCGCCGCCCTACACCCCTCCCCTCTTCCGTCGTCACTGGATCAAGCTCTTTCTGGAGCGCGAGTGCCGCAAGTTGGTAATGCAGTCGCCATAGTAAAGTAAGTAAGGAAGCTGTGATCTTGGCGGCGAGGCCGGTGAAACTTTGTTTCGACGAGTTGTGCATTTTTCCTGTGGCGCTGCGGTTTCGTAAAACTTTGGGTTGCAGCAATTGTCCCTTCCAATGCTTTTCCGGAAAGGATACCCTCCGTATTTCTTAACAGTGTGCACAGGTGCTTTCGTAAAGAATCAAGTGCTTTAATACATTTTTGGATAGGCCCGCCAGGAAAATGACGCATGTGTCGCTCGCGTTGTCAAAACTAATTGCTGCGTTTTTTACTCACTCGGACATGCGCGATTTCCAAGGTGCTGGTAAAATGCTTTCACGAGTAAAAAAATATTCAATGAAATATGCGGTGATATGCAGTCCGTTGTAAAATATTGGCGAAGAGCGAAAAAAACTGGCTCCGCAATCCGTTAGCCACCAGAGAGGACTGACTATCTCACCGACCCCGGTCCGTAGGTTGGGGACGCTCCGCCAAGTGAGTGGGTACTGTTAGAAACCGTCTGTTTTGCTCCCGTCGTTAATAACTGAGGGCCCGCGCGGAAGGCATTAATGTCGGGCAACACTGCCCGCATACTAAGGGGTTGTGAGGAATTACGAGGGTTTTGAAAGAGGCTGTTTGATACTTACGTAAATCACGTTTGATTGAATATTTTTAGCATCCTGAAATATTGCGAAACTAACAAATGGAAGAAAAGTTGATTGGCTGAGTAGTTGAGTGTAGTTTTCATAAGGTGAATCTTCTTTATTCAGTAAAGGCCACTTGGTAAAGCCATCTTCCTGAAGTAACTTGAGTAGGTCATTAAATTTCTCTGTTTCGTTGACAGCTGTTTGACATACAAAATAATCAAATGTTATGAGGTGCATGTGAAATGTTGACAAAGCTTCTCTTAAATGCAAGAGCACTTCTACGGTCTCGAAACCGCGAGAGCGTGTACGGCCGTTAAGCGTCGCGCCTAAGTGTATCGAAGTCTAGCTGGAAAATCTAAAATGGTGTGTAATTATACACCAATTCAATTTACACGCTTCCTGTAGCTGGGAGCGTTTTCCCGATAAATATTGCGAGGAAACCAAAATTGGTTTTCTCGCACTGTGTTACTCCGATAGCACCGTGCTAGGATAGCACGGCAGCGCCGACTTTTACGAATGCGGGAAAAGGAGCAAATGATCTCAGCTTATATCGTATTACTGTTCCTTTGGCAGCATTCAGAGAGAATGCCCATATTCGTAAACCCGAGACAGCAAAAAATTTAAAACTTAGGTCGGTGCATAGTTGTACTATGCTGCATTAATTAATCTAGAACTACGTGGGGATGGCACGAGAAATGAGAGGGGCTGGGGGTGGTGTAAGAAAGGCCATGCTTTGTCCACTCATTCCATATGTGCTTTTGTGGCAGCTGGAGATACGTCCATGGACGATGGTGGGTGCGCAAAAAGCAACGTTGGCAAGATGTGAATGCCCGTGGCTCGGCGTCCCGTTGAAGCAATCTTGCAGCACCCCGCGCCGTCATCTCCGATTCGTATTTTCGGAATGGCGTGCAAAGTAAGTCGGCGGACAAAGCCCGGGTTTGCCCTTGGGCCATTCCAAACACATGTTAATTTTTTTTTTCGGGAAAAGCACACGGGGATAAAAAGTGTTGTCGGTGCCTCCGTGGCGGATGCTATAACATGTTCGCCGAATCATTGGTGTACCATGGTGCGAGGAGTGCATCGTCTCGCATGAGAGCTCGCACGATCTCTTGTTTTCATACTTTCTCGTTCAAAATAACTTCAAATTTATTCTGACGCTCGTGACGTCACTTCTGTGACCAAGTTTTTGTGACATTCCGTGACCAAGTTTTTGTGGCATCGTCTTCTTAACTTTGCACCCCCTTCAAGATTTATTTTATGTGCGGGGTGTCACTACCGTGACCAAGATTTTGTGACATCGGCTTTCCAACTTCGCACTCTCTTTCAAATTTATTTTGACGTGCGTGGCGTCACTTTGACAAAGTTTTTGTGACATTCCATGATCAAGTTTTCGTGAGGTAGACTTCCTTACTTTCCACCCCCTTCCAAGTGCGTAAAAAACGCGCGCAAAAAAGAAGAAACAAACAACACACAGCTAGTCTAATATTCCCGTAATGAGGCCTATTATTTGGAACTTGTTTACCATCTTGCCTGCGTATTTTTACTCTCAGGGAGAAGGCGTGGTTACATTTAAGAAAATATAAATTTTCTTAATTACGATTTATATCCTTGACCAAATCGGTTGAGGAGCCTTCTACCGTATTGCTTCTGCTTCAGTTTAACATTAAGGACTGTATACGTTATTTACAAATATTAGAAAATATTGATATGGAAGACTGTGCCATCGAGCTTTAAATTGAAATAAAACGAAATGGACAGAAGTTTGGTTGGTACACGAGAGGTAGACATATCAGCTTCGACTAAATTGTTTGAGTTGATGCCTGTTTTTTTTTTTATGACAACCATCAGGGTCTTTAGGATGAATAACCTCGCTGGATATGATTAATAATAAAGAAAGATATTTGGATTTTTTTTAATGGTGAAATTTTTGCTTTCATTGGGTTCTACCAGCCGCAGCATGTTTAGAGTTTGCGCTTACTTTTCTGTCGCTTTTTAGAAAAGTAAAGCAGTGTAGCTAAAAAAAGTTATTTTTATCACTAAATATATTTTTAAACATGGCAGTCTTATTTATTAATTTCCCAGACCATTAACAGTGCAGAATAAATAATTACTGTAAGTTTAAAGTACATGTTAGTTAACAACACTTTATTGATGTGAACTCCGCCATACTTTTGTTTTTTTCGCCGTTTTTTGCCAGCTAAAATCCTCTATATACTTTTTTTTTCGAATTCTCGCTCGCTTGCAGTAGGTCATGACTTTCCTGGTTTTCGTTTCCTTCGTTCTTAATTTCGTGTTTCGATTCGCTTTCCATACGACACTACGTAACAGAGCAACGGAGTGGAAGATAGGAAGATAGCTCAGTGCTCTAAGTTGCTCAGAAGAAAACTGCTTTCTGCTCGTGTTCAGCCTAATATGAATAATTCTTGCTTGATCGATTCTTTGATTTCAGTTCAAAACAGTGCACACAGACAGCTTCACATGATAGATGAACGGTGGATAATTCATATCTTCAGGATTATTTCTGCAGGGAAAGCTTGATCTAAATTGACATCGTAAAACAGGTCTGATTTAAATCATGATTTAACCCTATTCTGATTTTTATTTTCCAAACTGCTTGTCAGTCCAGAACTCCTCTTAAAACCCTAAACATCAAACAAAACATAAAAAGGGTAGCTTTATATATTAATTTCCAAAACAAAACACATAACGGCACGAATATGAGATTTTTCCTTGTGTCCATGATTACTCGAATTTGTTGCTTCATGGGCGAGGACAAAATGTAAAAGGCCATTTGTACATATTTTGAAAGGGGAGGTTTAAGATCAATCCATCGCTATGGACAATTTGCTTGTTAGGGATTGACCGACACAGCATGTGTATGTTACGAACAAATCACTTAAATTTACGGCAGTTCAAAAATTTTGCTAAATTCAGTGCGAGCGCAAAATATAAAGTGTGGGGGGGGGGGGGGGGGGGGTTTCGATGTGCGAAATCTTTATTTCAGAAAGATATTGTACTATGAGTTTGGTTATTATAATTTAAAAACAAATCTATGTGGCCATCATTCTTAAAGCTACGCTTTGTGAATGACAACAAAGCAAACGCGCAAAGCCCATATTAAGAGCTTAGGGTTGCTTGAAATGCCGTTGGTTTTAATTGCTGCTGATGTCACTCATAACGTAGACCTCTATGGACTAAGGCGCATTGACATGAACTCGGCTGGGAAAGCAGCCTCTTGCCGATCTGTAAATTTTTACCATCACTATGTAGCGCGAAGTGTAAACAGCAAAAAAAAACACATTAGATTCTTGAGTCGCCGTACTAGATAAAGGGCTAAACGATTTAAAAAAAAAAATGAATGCGGTTTGTTTTCATCAGATGTGCATAGCCACGTCGTAGACTTTCCGGCGTATATTTAAACGACAAAATGTTTTGATGATTTTTGGTGTGCATTATTTTTAACTATGCATGTATATTGACGATATCTTCCCAAAGGACGAAAAAAAGCGGTGATTCTCTGTGAAGAACTAATGAAATACCAAGAGTTAATTTTTGGTGGGAAGGTTCTTGACGAAAACAGTCTTAGCTAATGCAAAGATGTCCAGAAATTGATGTTTCTTAGTTTCTACAAATTTTGTTGTCGACACAAGCGGTTGTTGAGAGGTGCTTTTCGGTTTTTATGGGGATTGTATTCTTGACACCGACGGATATTTATTGGCGTTTTTTTATTAAAGCTGGAAAGGTATGGCCTAGTTATAGTTAGCCATCCCTGTTACAGGGTTTATCTTTCTTCAAATAGGGGTTGTTCTATCTGAGCTTGCCTTCCCACCGATTTTGTGTGGTTCAGTAACAGTTTCTGGCGTCATACCAAAAAAAAAGAGGCGGTTAATTGAGGCGAATCTTGAAAATTTCAGGCATTAGTTCGGATTCTCAACCTCCAGAAAGCAGGTAACCCTTTCTCTCAAAAGCGCACGTGTGCGCTTTGGATAATTTCGTGAATCTTGCCACTTCGCCGCCAATGAGGACTCGGCGTTGAAAAAAAAGGAAATACGATACTCTGGCTCCGCCATTTAGATATTTTACCTTGAACAAGAAACTTACGTACTCTCACAAAGGCAGACTCTGTAGGCCAGAATAGCCTTATTAGTAGCATTCTGCGGTTCTTCTTCCTTAAGTGTAGCGTTCAATAGAATATCTAGATATAAGAATAATATTTAAGCTTAGTTCAATGTCAACTTTATATGGTGTAAAAAAGAATATAGCTTCAGTGAAGTTAAGTTAAGCACTCTTAATTATTGGGTAGTATTATCAGGTTTTCAAATTTACTCCCGGGCCACAAATCACGGTTTATGGCATACGTTTGCCAACATGTTTACCAGATGGCGTAGCCATGATATTGAAAAAAAGCACCGATTGCTTTTGATAGAAAGGACATAGTGGGTAGACATGGGCCCAAAACTCGTCGAACACAAAGTTGGAGCCGATAGTTCTCGGAGCGCGCCGATTGGACGTCGGCGAAAGAAGCGCGAATTCATCGTCGTGATAGGCCAATTGGTGCGCTCCGTCAACTTCGGCCCCAACTTTGTGTTTGACGAATTTAGAGGCCCTGAATGCTAGACGTGTTGAGGTCTAACCACTATTCGTTTTCAGTCAGTCAATAAAAGCTCGGCGTTCTACGTCATGGTAACCCCTGTGCAAGAAGTCGACAATCGTTCACTCCGCATTGATTTATAATTAAGAAAGAAAATCTATGAAAACAAGAACAAAGCGAAACACGACAGAGAGAAGCGCTTGTCTCTCATGTCGTTTCTGGTCAAAGTTAATACAATGATCTTTAGATTAAGAAACGAAGGGCGTGACTTATTATTCAAATGCCTCTTGCCTCGGTATTTGTTATTCAGTGTTCCGATTGGCTACTGCCGCAACCTCATGGGTTCTGGAGCGTTAATAAAATTTGGTAGAAATTCTAGGACTACTACAAGACTGATGTTTTGGGCCAACAAATCATATTAATATAATGGGAATATGCAGTGCAGAGTAAATCCGAGACACGAGATAATACTTATATTTGAATGCATTATAGTACGTATTAAAAACTTGATTGTTTTCGACAAGGAGAGTCGTCGCGGGTTAAGAAGCTTCTTAATTTTTTTCGACTGTTGAAATATTTCGCGAGCTTCTCGCTTAGATCCTTAGGAGCACATGTTCGTTTTATACGCAAAAGAAAACGGGAGTTTACTCTCCAACTTCGCTCTCCTAATAAAAGTGCACATTTTGAAGAGCCTGGATTTTGTTATTGGAGATTTCGAAAAAGTGGTCAAGCTAATGCCTACAGAGTGGCGAAAAACAAAACAAAAAAAAAAAACAGGGAACGTTAAAGCTACACTTGCGGATTGAAGGACGCCTTAAATGCTGTATTTTGAACGGGAAAATTGGGCATACTCGGTGCTTTGTACGTCCACCGTAATACTATATAATATATGCGTTTAATTACGGTTATGCTAGTGGAGTTCCAAAAAAAAAAAAAGAACGCATATTAGATTGCTTTACATCTAAAAATAAACATAATTATAAATGGTATGATGCCCATAGTTTATTGGCTTGCCCTTAAGGGGAACTAAAGTGTATTTTGCGATTGTCTTTTCATGCGACAAAGTCAACCACGTACCCAGTAAGCATCGAAGAGAACAGAACAGTTACACTCATTTGCCACCTTTTTTAACCCGACCAAACATCAGGACATGCCCTCTGTTCTTATATCAGTCCCGAAAGGAGGGACATGCCGAGATGTTTAGTTGCGTGTTTAAGAAAAAGAAAAGACAACTCCTGATTGCAACTCTGAGTTTCCTAGGATTCTTAAAGCGTGTGGAACGTGCTTGCGCCAAGAAACACAATTTGAAAACTCCCTGCTCCCTGTTAAATGCGTTGCCTAGTATTCTTTAGAGACAAAAGAGGAGAATAAAGTATAATATGAAGAGCTTAGCGCCCTTAAAATTGGCACCGGTCGCAGCAAAGTTTCGGCTGAACATTTCACTTTTTCCTTGAAGCTAATCAAGCGGCACAGTTATATTTTCAAGACGAGATAAATGTTTTCAGTGGACAGCGTTAATGAAAACATACTTTTTACGTCCATTTCAACTTTATCGTCAAGGATATGAAAATTTCCGAATTTAGACTCGTCGTCAGGTATTTCGTGAGTTTTTTTCCAATTTCCACAGGCGTATTCATAGAAGTCAGTACAAGGATCCTCTGTCTGGTCCATGCTGTCCAACATCATTTTAGCTGCATAAAGAATTAAACGAGAGGCTTGTACCACAAATATAAATGCGGTAGTAAAAAGAACTCGAAATTCCTTTATGAGGTGCACTTCGTCTGCACCCTGAACTAATCGCAGAACAATAAGTATTATGCTACATAATAATGTCACTAACCAGAGAAACACAGCACGAGGTAATCAGTTAAGATAACCAAAAGATAACAAACAGAACAGAATTTACTTTTTACGTATTCAATTCTTAACGTTTTCTTGCGAACTGTCAGTGACTTCGGAGGGCGGGGGGAGGGGGGGGGGGGGGAGAGCAAACAAATTACTTCATTTGAAAAAAAAAGTGTAAGCAGTATAGAGGGGTAAGAGCAAAATATCGCTCGCCTCCCCACATTTGCACCGTAACAACCCTTCCATTTCACCTTCTCCCGAACCCAACGCCTCTGGTTGTCGCGACACCCAACCCGACGTGCAATCGTGACACAAACCACAAATACGCTTGAGCTCAACAACAACTTTTTTATGATGGAGATATGAGTTTACAAAGCAAAATTAACAGTAAACAAATCAGTAGTAACGCCAGTAGTGTAATATGCCATCTCAGATAAGAAACAAACAGAAAATAAAAATATTGTTTTAGAAAAAGGCAGAATGAATTGTACTCAAAAGGTACGACAGATGGGGTTTCACCTTTCACTTCTGTAAACATTCAAACATCGCGACCTTAATTTGTTTATTTAGTCAGGGGCAATGTTCAACCGACAGACACACGAGCAGCAAGCATGATAAAGACCTAATTATGTAACAGAACAAAACATCATTTTGTTGCTGGTATCGTAGAACAAGATATTATTATACGATACGACAATAAGATATAAGATATCGTGTACGATAATAACACCGAATAAGTTATTACGCTATATATATATATATATATATATATGAACGAATATGTGCAGATGAATGAACCGTACTCAATCCAATGAATTAAAGAATCCAAGTTTTTCAGGAACCCGCCGAAAGCCAAAAATTGGCGGAGCCAGGATTTGAACTCTGGGCCTCCCAATGTCCGGTCGGGTGTGCTAACCACTACACCACTCCACCTTGGCTGTCTGGCGTTTCCTACCTGTCTTATTAATGCACAAGAAACGAAATGTATCCAATCGGAGGTGTTCTGGAAACACACGCCGCCGCGTGGAACGCGGTACGACGCTTAGTGTCACGTGGTACGTGCTCGTTTGTGCTCCAGAAATCCTCCCACTGTTTGTCTCGCCCCGTGTACATGTAGTAGTATTCTTTGTTTATGAGCTTTAGAGACACGGTATCATCATCATCTGCGAGAATCAAGAGCCACGTTATTGAATACACAACACGGGCACTTCACGTCATCGTACGTGGTCTCCGAGGAGGATATGAACGAATATGTGCAGATGAATGAACCGTACTCAATCCAATGAATTAAAGAATCCAAGTTTTTCAGGAACCCGCCGAAAGCCAAAAATTGGCGGAGCCAGGATTTGAACTCTGGGCCTCCCAATGTCCGGTCGGGTGTGCTAACCACTACACCACTCCACCTTGGCTTTCTGGCGTTTCCTACCTGTTTTATTAATGCACAAGAAACGAAATGTATCCAATCGGAGGTGTTCTGGAAACACACGCCGCCGCGTGGAACGCGGTACGACGCTTAGTGTCACGTGGTACGTGGTACGGATCTCTGACTTAGATATAAAATTAATTAAACAGTTGGCAGTTAAACGTAATCCCCAAGTTTTCACATTTCTATAACAGCATTCACGAATCATTTTGTGCATTATATTGACTTTTGCTTTTGTCTTATACATCCCATTTTAATACTGTGAATTGTTTCGTGTTAAATATTTAAAATAATTTTTTTCCACCTTTCTTTCAACGGTACTTTATAAAGTATAAAACGCACCCAGTCTTCCCGTGGATGCGATTAGGAGGCTGACAACATTGTAAATAAATAAAAATAAAATATCCCACTCAATCAGCAAATTATTTCACTCCCCTCATGCGCGACCTTTTATTGTATAGAGCAAGACGAAAGCCCCCGGGTTAAAATAATAAACATATTTATTGTGCACTCACTCCCCAAACATTAATCTTCGTCAGCAATGTTTAGGAAGTTGAATTCTCTAACCTGCGAACTTATACATTCCCGTGGGAGTAGCCCTTTAGCTTCTTTTTTTTAATGACGAACAAGCGGTACTGTTCTGACTGCTCATAATATGTAAGAAATTATAAGCGAAAAGTACGTAATTTAGAAACAAATATTTGTTGTTTTTTAGAATAAAGTGACTCAACGCCATTGTGTTGCTACAGCCTTTGATTCTGCTCCTCTTTTCGTGGTTTTGCAATGACATATTCACGTTGTGGTAGTTTTTCGCCGGGAGTCTTGTCTTGTTTTCTAAGCAGTCATTCGATATTTATGTCTGGTGCCTAATTTTTTGCAATCTGTTTTTCACAAGCATTATGGTTACTCTATACCAATATTTCACGTATATTGAGCCACGGCGCTACTAGTTACAACAACCGTATCGTTAGCATGAGGAGAACGTCGAGATGTTCTCTGACCTTAAAGCGGTACTCCGGCGATTTTTTTAGTTACCCCAACTAATTATATTGTCGGGAAAACCGGCCTTTACCTTTTCCGGTATGGCATTCAGTATCGCGAAATTCAGAATATTTATTGTGAAATCGGCAAGCCAAAATGATGTGAAAACTAACATTCAAATATTCCCGCGCTTTTTAATGTCACGTCAGGGGAAGGCAGGCTTGCAGTTCGAGAGGGCAGCGTAAATATGGACTATGCCGAGCATTTGCTTCCTGCTGCGGCGCGGGCGCTGGAGCGAGCTTCCAAAACATCCATTGGACACCATGAACAGCCTGTAGTCAGTTGGAAAAAAAGTCTAGTCCAAAGACTGAATTTCTACCTTCCACCTACGTCACTTTTTTATTGCTTCTAGTAGAGATTTTCACTTTGAAAATCACGGTCAGGGTCAAAATTGTGATATCAATAACTTCGCGAAAACAAAATTATTTTGCTCTAATATTCGGGTTACTATTTGATTGAAGTATGTTGACATGTTTTGCAAACTTTCAAACAAATCGAAGACTACGAAGAAAATGCCTAGTACCCCTTTAACACAGGCACAAAGGCTAAAGTGTAGGCTTGTTATGATAGCGCGGTCTCCTCAGGGGTACTTGCTCGTTATTTGTAACACAAAGAGCAAGGGACCACGCAATTCTGATTTTATTGATCACCTAAACAAAATTTAGAAGGCATAAGCAAACAGCGTAAGGAACACCTATATGACTCCCGGAATGTGTGGTATTTATAATCTATACAAGGAAAGCGTTTTTTTTTCTTAGGGTGTAATTCATATAGTAATTAAGCATGTTAAATAAAAATATTATTAACGCCAGAAAATATTTTTTTAAAAGCTTACACCCATATGTGTCAGACAACGTTACTATTTTACGATATTAGCATATTTATTGACATGTATAAAGGAAAAAAAAAAGTGCTCAGTTACACGTTTCAAGTTATTCAAGCAAGGAAAGTACGGTATAAACGAGAATCACCTAGGTGCAATGGTTGATTAGAAATTTATTTATACCCGGCGACAACGAAGTGAGTTAAGTAAATATATTAAAATAAACGAACGCTTATCCACATGTCTTGTGTCATTGTCAACGAAGTTTAGTCAAGTTTTTTGTGGGTAATCGGAATCAAATCTTCGAGTCGAGAGTAGCAAAAAAAGAGTCCCATACAAAACATACGAATGCAGCCTATACTGGTTAGAGACCGGGTGTGCCTCCTTATTTTTTGTGTCGTTTTGTACTTTTAAGCAAGAGTAACTTCCTGAGCACTGCGTCAGGGGATTGTTCCTCTCGACGCCATTTAGTCGACTGTCAGTTTTAATGAAAAAAATTAACTGTCATTCAAATTACATTGCGAGCATCAATCGTACGTCCTTAAAGCATTCTTTTAAAAAAAAGTTTCTGATGCCAAGCTTATAGTACGCGAAATTATCCTACTTAGATGAGGGTGAAGCAGTGGAGTAGTCGTTTAATAGTTGATTTCTGGAACAGTAATAAAAGAGATGACACATTGTTTTAATATACTTGAAACATTAAATTTGGGAACATTTCTGGCTTGTGTAGTTCAGAAAGATTAGGTAAGATTTCATATAATTCGAATCGTGCAAAGTTGCGTCGTTTCATCATTTATCTAGTTTGATTCTGTAAAGATTACTAAAAACTTTGGCCTGGTATTCATTTTGCAGAAATGTGTGTATCTAGCAGTCATTCTATATCTTGCAAACCTCTTCAGCCAATGGGCAAAACAGAAAATGTTTGTAATTTGGAGCTTTTTGTTTTTTTTGGCACCGAAAAACGAGCGTGGACAGACGCTTCGTAGGATACTAAGAGGTCTCTAATAAAGGCTTCACACCATTTAATAGTGTCTTCGTTTAATCGTATTTTTTTTTCAGAAATGACATCCTTGCATTACAATTTAAGTGATTATGATGTAACACACTATAGTCTGCAGGTTGAAAGTAGCAGGCTAAAAGACCATTGTAGAAAGCCCCCCCCCCCCTTTCCACTTAGAGGAGCGATTGCTGAAGAGGAAGAAGCCACAAATGATGGCGAGCAGAAAGCATTTCAGGGAGTGGCATCTCCTGCTATTTTAAACTTGCAAGAAGCTATAGTACAAATACCTATTCGGCAAAAGCGAAGCCCTACAAATTGAAGATACGCACTGGGAGTGGGTCTGCGGTAGCCCTGTACACGAAAGTCACGTAGAACAACAAAAACTTCATTATTTATACCAACGTTCGCATTTTACTTCAAATTTTAATAAACTACGCCTGTCTAACTGCGCTTAAATTATCAATGAATTCTGCACAATGCGTTTCGTTTTTTTTTTTTTGTTATCAAAGTCAAAAACTGCATGCATCTGTTTCGAATGGGTAATTTTGTAGCGAAGGAGAAGCTCGCAACGAAAACTTAGACCCATTCTTGCCTAACCATCTTCAGCTATGAGTTCTATGTGTTTCCTGCACTGAGACTTAGTTCCACTATGTAACATCTAGTTGGATGGCTACCTGAGTTTTTCTAAAATACTCCGAGTTTAACTGAAGTGATTTCAGATATATTCATTTGGATTCAATAATCCTTATGGGCAAAAAAACAACGAAACGGAGGTTTGAGTTGTGGTTAGCGGGGCTTTTTAATCCTAGCCTCAAAGCACATACAAGCTTAAGTAGTTCCAGCTGCTCCAACGTCTTGTTTCCACTAATGCGAATGTGGTCAGGAGTACTAAATGACTAAAACGTGAATGAAGAAAAAAATATCGCGTCTACAAAGACGTGATAGTTGCGACGTCGAAACTGCGCAGGCTCTGAACGCTAACCGCGTTTTGCACGTTGCGGGCCCTATTTGAGCGTACGCTATTTTTGGAAAGCTCGTGTGTACACAAAGAGTATTTACGCTACACTAAAGGCGAATGCGTAATAAGCGATAAGTTGGCTAAAGCCGAGACGAGCACAGTTTGAAAATAACGGCTCCCAAGACTGCGGTGGTGGCCGCTTTGGTGGTCGTCGTAAACGCGAAGTCGGCCGTATCCTCGCCGCTGTAATTTTCAATACAGGACGACATTGAACAACTACGGGAGTTGCACGTCATGGACACGACCTGGACGGGGGCATGTGGCGAAAGTACGCTGTGCCTTCAGCAAGAAAACACCTAGCATGGGAGTGTTCCTTGTACTTCGAAGCACGGCAACGTGCCCTTAAAGAAATATCGCAAGACCAGTGGCCTTCTAGCTACGAGGAGTGGCTTTTTCCACCGAACGCGATGCCCATAACGGTGCACCTCCTGTGGCGAAAACTTTACCTCTACATCAAGGTCGCCGGAGATCTGAAGGCCCAACTAAGCAGCATTGACATCACACACACACACAAAAAAAATAAACGTTTAGAACAGGACGAAAAACACGTCACGAACGGTTTGGAAGACCCAGCAAGGTGGGCAACTATCGCCGTCCACTTGCAGCTCGAACGTTTCTCGGTAAACGTTCGGTGTTCGAACGTGGCGAAAGTTGGTGCACGAGACCTCTCTTGCCGTGACGACGCAACCGGACACGACCTGTGGACATCTCGCGTAGCATTCTCATACTTGAGCAAAGCTAAAGTGTTGTTCGGGACCAGCAAAAATATTTTTTTCTCGAATTACATTATTTGGTGTGTGAAATTAAAATTGTTACTGTGTCTTAAAGGCGGTGCAAGCGCGCGATGTTTGGGTGTTTTGGTCGCGTCGCGGAAAAGCTATTCTAAAACTGTCTTGCGCGGCGTGCCTTAACGCAAGCGCTAAATTTAGCGCTAACGTGAGCCTAAACTGCGCGCGTTATTCTAACGTACTTTCATTTAGGACGCATTTTGATAGATTCCGGAAGTCCTATCATTCAGAGAAATGTTCACACAAAAATGCTAGGTACTTTTACGAACGCTTCACGTAGGTGCCTTCATCACTGCTTTGTGTAAAGCAGCCACAGTGATCTGCTGCTCCAATAAATAGTCAGTTACGTCGTTGTACTGTTCAAAATTTGTCGAGTTGGTTATGCATTAAGAAACTAGAAACAGTTCGAAGACGGACGAAGTACGATAATTGCCAGTTGCATCCAAGCATTCTCACCTCTTTCTTTGCAGGCTTCTGTTTTGCACATATTTTGGGGGGTCAAATCTGGTACAATTTGAAAGGAAAAGGAATTATTAATCTTGATATCAGATATGAATGATTTTATTATTAATATTTTAAATTATTTACTTATACTGGTAACACGTATGAGGCTGACAGGCATGAATTAGTCTACATTATACGATGCAAAAATCTTCAAAGGATACTCTGACTATATTACTCACCCAATGATGATTTTGCAGCGCTGAGCTCAGCTAACAACAAAATCAAGTAGAATCCCCAGAATGCCACCAGCTGCCGAGCATGAGGAAGCATGTACCTCTGCCTCGATGACCAAGGTATACTCCTGCGCATGGTTTCTGGAGATCACAAAATATGCTTGTTATTCGCATATGAAAAAGAGCTGTTTTCACCGTGAATACGTTTTTATTTAATTACTTTTTGAAAATCCTGCCATGTAAATGGTGTTCTTATTGTAGTGAATTGCACTTGTTTAGTGTTGTATAGCACTTTCTGAGCACTGATAAAGCCGTTATAGTGCTCAATTTTCGTGGGTGGCACTAAGGCACTCACCATACACAATATGGAATGTCGATTTTAAGCAAGGTTATTGGTTTAGCTGTGTATCAGCGTGACATGTGAAGCCAAAATTAAAACACGAGCTTTTCGAATAAAGCTTCATTGCTGATCTCTAGCAGTCTACTTTAGAGTAAAGACCAAACATGCGCCTTCTTTATTTAAAGACCTAAAAACTACCTAAAAGCGTAGTGAAATAATCGACCACAAGTCAAAATCAACGAAACGCTGGCCGAATGCTGGCCAAATTCGCTGGCCAAATTCGAAATGTATGAATCATAATCGATCGTTCTCGTCGGAATGCAGGTTATTATTTATATAATAGTTTATCCGCGTAAAACCAACAGGATCAGCAATATATTACATGGAGGTTGTAAGTAAACCACGGGTAGGTCTAACAAAATGCCACTAATACGTAGAAAGCAAGACTGATTCCTTCAGCAACGTGCCGGCTCTCCCAAATGTGTCTGTGGAGCAAACTTTAAATAAAAAACAAGAAAACTGTTTTTCGTTATCCTCATTCTTTCAGAATATTACCCTCTTGTGCTTTCTTCCACAACATAAGAAGTTTGACTACGTGGCTGAGACCAGAGACAAGATAGGGGAGGTACAAAGAGACATGTCGAGTTTAACAGGTGATTTCGTAAGAAGGAATTGCGCTAGTGACATCGAGCGATGCCAAGGATATCACAAGATTATAATACTAGTCAAATTTATTGTAGTCCGAATTTTTTGTGATTATTTCTGGTTATATTTGACAACAACATTTAGACCTTCTAGTAGAAAACATAATAAAATATATGCTTCTGACAAATTGCACTTAGGTGATTGGTAAGATTCAGTGTTCGGGAAGCTTGGTAACAAGTTATAATCTGGAAAAAGACGAAACAGTTTGCAACCTCTTGTGATTGCCCTTTCACTTTAGTCAGCACTGACTCGCCAATATGGGAAAAGCCATCGCATTCGCTCGATCATATTATCAAGGCTCTAGAACTCAGAAATGTTTTTACTGGAAGTTGAGGAAGGCTTTTTTAGACTGAGGTTTGTCAAATAAAGCCAGTCAATAGAACGGCCCGAATTTTAAGACCTCCTGCGGCCCCAGTACTTCGAAACCAAGCTGAACTATGCTTCACGACTGCCATAGAAAGACTTATATTCATGTAGATAAATGGAACAACATATCTGGAAAATGTCTGTGTTTAAGTTAAAATTGTCGTAGTTGGTTTTGTGAAAAGAGCAGAAAAGATACCTAAGATGTGCGTGGTAAAATAAAACCCAATTATTTTTAATTTTTAGTACCTACACTCTAAGGTAAAAAAGGAGAAAAAAAGTAGCAAAGGCGCGTTTTCCTCCATTCTACTGACGCGCCTCCAAGCGAACACGAGAAGAAGGGAAGAGCGAGGCGTTTATCCCCTTCTTCACTCAGGCGGATTAAGGGTTTCGCCCTACCGCCGCATCTTGTTTCAAATTCGTTCTTCGAGCACATTGCGCTCGTTCTCTAATAAATGTTGGTGGTTCACTGAGATTCAACGCCAGCGATGGCCACCTGTAATTCCGTCACCCAGTCCAAACGTGCAGAGCATTTCGGTTGCATCGATGTTTTTTGCCGCTAATTTTATCATACGAGCAAGCGAAGCCACTAGAAACAGAGCGAAGTTCCGGAGCAGTGCCAGCAGGGCTACGTACACTGGGCTAAGAAGGTCGCCTTCGGATTGCGGAAGGACGTGTCAATATTGAAGACGTTATGGAAACCGCGGAAACAGCGTTCAAGACGGAGATTTTGCAGCCTGGGGCCTGGGTACCTCCTGTTCTGAGTTCAGTTCTGTTTTCCGATGCCGAGTGCGAACCGGCAGTCAAGGTGGTTCTGTATTTCTGCGTGTCAGTAACATAGCAGCATCATCGCGATGGCAGCGTTGTGCGTTGTGAACAGAATACTAGAATTATCGTCGATGCGACCCTGTGTTCGCGTATCAGTAATGTAACAACAAGGTGAGGTGACGTAAACTGTCGGGCATTGATGCCGCTAGTCGGGCTGTGACAAGAGGAGGCGGTGTGTTGCAGGTTTACATTCCGCTTTACATTAATCAGCTTTAACACCGCTTGAGGGATTACGTTTCACTGGATCGACCTGCGGATAGTCATGCTGGAGCGCTGGTCTAAACCATAGCTCCTATCGTACAGTGGCTAACGTGACTGCCGTCTGCGAGGTTCTGCTGTCTCCAACCCGAGAGTGATTCCGCTCTGTGGAAAAAAAAGAGCTGCAACTGAAAAATGGGAATGGTCGTTCGTTTTACTTCTTTGATAGCAGTTGGTCGACACAGTGAATTATGTTCATAAAATGATTGATCGTTACATTTCATTCGGCGTCTTCATTCGTGAAACAAGGACATTGAAGACATACTGAAACTAGAATAAATGTTGAACGGCGTAAAAAACCTGTAAGGGAGTATAAACATCATCCTTGACCTTGACTATCACAAATACTAAAAGCAAAACATTTTTTGAACTTCGAAACAAAAGTGCATGCATGGCAAGCGCTGACTGACGCGCTTGGTCTGATGTACACACGGTGGAACAAGGCTGCCAGAATGAAAGTTCTATTTTATTTTTTACAGTTATGTCTTGTTAACATGGAGGCCTCCATTCTTTAGAAAAATGGTCTATAATGTGGCTCATCCACAATAAGTAATCAAGGCCAAAACGCACTTATTAACAAGTTCAGCAAAGGCAATAATTATATAAAAAATGGTTGATGAAAATCAGGTTAAAAAAACGGTGACGAAGAAAGCTACAAGTACGACAACACGTATCTAAAGTCCCGACTAAACTTATTACTTGAAACGAAAAAAATAAGAAACAAATACAGTTCTAATCATATCTTCACCACAAAGCATCCTTACACACAAGCACTCGTTATCCCGGGTGCTCGTAATCAGGCAAAACGTGATTTCACGTTGTGTCAATATTATACCGGACACTCCATTGAAGATTTTAGGAACGTCAGTTCTTTTTGGGACAACGCGACAGATGGATCGCGCAAACAGCTGACAGTTAAATATGAAATGTAAAGCGCATCGATAATTTCTCTCGTGACCTTCTTCATGTGCCCTCACAAGATCCTCAAATCAGTGAAGGCGGTCTGGCACAAACCGAATCTAAAATGAAAAGTTAGAAAGCCACTTACCGCTGCTTTAGGCAAATACGTATACTCCTTGAGTATGCCGTTCAGACACCTCCCTGTCTGCCCAACGAAGAACGTTTCAGAAGACAGGGGGATGCTTTACGCAACACACGAAACGCATGAGAAAAACGGTTTTGCATGTTTTTTGGTGCAACTGACCTTCTCATAATTTTGAGCTCTTGCACCGAGTCTAGCACAAATTTCGTTACTTTGTGGTGGGGCTAAAAAAACCATAGGAACTCGAAACCGACTACTAACCTGTTTCAGGTTGTGGAGAACACCGTAGTTGTGCAGGACCACTACCATTCGCTTTTGTCAAAATCAACTCTTCTTCTCTCTATACCTTTAGCCTTTTTGAAGAAAGAGCTCGCCACCACTGTGAAAAATGCTTGCGGGAACCCTTTTGCCATCAGTCTCTTGCTCCAAGACAAGAAAACGAAGTTCATCAAATGTGGGCATGACTTCGCCAGTGCCAAGCCTAGAACCGAAACGGCAATGCCCTTCTTCACCACTTTTGAATTGGCTGACATAAAGTCCAGGTCTAGTTTCTTCGACTGCAGACTAAAAGACCAACATCCGTGCTCATCCCCCAGGCACAAGGACAGATCCAAGACCTGCAGAACCCTTACTTTTTGATTTCTCGAGTGTAAAACTGAGGCCACTCCCAAACTTAATTAGTACATCCAAGACTCAAGCACGCGCTGTATCTCCCTCCCTTTTTGTACGAACCTCTAAAAATCATCCACGTACCGAAACACCGTTTCAAAGAATAACTTTATTCGCGAGTTCAGTTTCGTCCTGTCATTTTTCTTAATTTCTTCGGCACCTTATTTAAACCCGTTTTACATCAACCATGCTCAATATTACCAAATGTCCCAGTATACAACTTTGTAAGTTGCAATGATTGCGTGGTTTATGTCGCTACAAATTACAATACGTGGGTTTGTACCGAATTTTTGAGCCTATGTTTTGTCCGGTAAGCGCAACACGTCCGTTCGCCCTGTTCTTCGAGCTGAACCTAAGTGATGGCTGTTTTAAAGCGGCGGCGAGCTGCATGTGACAAGTATGTAGCGCCCCCCTCCAGTCCGCCCGTCTGTGGCCGTCAGGCTCGGAAGGCAACATTGATCACCGCGCCCAATAAATGCCGTTGAGCGCACGCCGCTCCGGTCAGTCATCGTCCACCCTCACAACCAGGCTGCGTGTTGTCTCTTCAAGAAAGATCGTGACACTGGCGACGAGGAACCGTGACACTGGAGGCCACCAACGTGCACGGTTCGGCCCACGCCGTCGAGAGAGTCGCAACACCGCCCCCCGCTCCTGTCGTCATGCCGCTGTACGGGAGGCTCGAGCCGTTCGAGGGAGATGGGTCCGCCTGTCCTGTCTACGAAGAACAAGTCCACGTGTTCTTCCGGGCGAACGACACACCCGAGGCGAAGCAACGGGACATCTTCTTGGCCAGCTGCGGGACCCGCGTCTTCAGCCTCGTGCTCGACCTCCTCAGGCCGGCCACGCCACACGTCAGAACGCTGGGTGAGCTGCTCACCACGCTGCGCTCGCACTGCAGCCCGGCGCCGTCCACGCTTATGGAGCGGTTCCG